TAAAGAACCTTTGTTTTAGTTTTAAGTGGTGTATCACTCCAGGTCGTAAAGTTTGCACTGTCGATTTTCCCAAGGAACCACTAGGCTTTGTGAATTTGGGTTTTACGTCTTTCATGTTCATCACACATTAGCGTGCCACAAGAAAAGCAGCGTACCTGTAATCGAAAAATCATATCGAGAAATTCATCGTCTAAATCCCGTGGAGCCATGCTGTTATTCCCAGTCGCCGAGCTGTTTCTACCACAGAACTCTGTGCTCGTTGCGGCTGTCGACGTGGAACCCGCGGGGTGGAATGTGCGTGATTGTACGTGAGAACCAATCGGTTCCGGGAGACCATCACTAGCACCACTGCTCCCAGTTGATGCTCTTGCTGGGTTTCCACGCGAAAGGGCGGAGACCGAGTTGGCTGCAGCTCCAATTGAGGTAGAATTGTTCTCGCATAAAGACAGTCCCGGACCGGGTCGAAGTCCGGGAAATATGGGCAGGCTGGCTCGCTGATCATCCATTCGATCGCCCTGTTTTGGTGTATGAAAAAAAACAAGACGGATGAAGGAAAGGTAGCGAAAAAGAGTAGACAGGGTGGTTCTAATCGTGTCGGTGCACTAAACTGAGTATCGAGATACAAAATCTGTTCTAATTGTGACGAAACATGACGCACGGGGTTGAGTGGTAGTATAGACCATCAAGAGTCCCTGCGAAAAGAAGCAGCGCACGGATGTGCCTACTAAGAGAATCATCAAGGTGATCCAAATGGAATGAAGCGACAGCTACACACTGGTGAAAGATCTATGCTTGAGCGGAATAACGGAGTTAGAAAAGTAAAGTGACAGTGCTATCGATCAATGTATCGCTCTAAACACCCACGTCAACCCAGAGAACAAAATATGATAAATAACAGGCGAGTACAAGCTAGGATTGGTAAAAAACCATATGAGTTAATTGATTTTGAATTCGTTTTTCCCTCCGAATTGCGTTGTACAGTACATGACTTTACCCGATAAATTACTACAATGAAGTTCAGGCGACAGAATATTCTTTATCAATGTAATTTTATCGCTTCTTGCTGAAGCGAGAGCAGTAATAACAGCAACGATAAAAAGAATAATACTATTATTATCAATAATAATAATAATAACGGTCGGATTAACTTGATTGACTTTGGAACGTGACTAGAATGCACTGGTCGCAATGGTCGGGCAGGGCCCAGTGAACGTGTGATACGCGGAGGAAAATGCCCCCGACATGAACTCTTCTGGACCACAGAACGACAAGCGAAAATGCATATCAAAACCTTTCTAAAATAAACGACGGAATGAGAGGATAGGGATTCAGAGTTGCACGTCGATCAATGGATCTATGTGAGATATACGATGAATGAAAGCAGTCTCTAGATTGCGGTGGTCCTCGAGAGACAATCGGATCAGCCCGAAAGGGAAGAATTCGATTGTCTAACAGTTTGTCCGTGGACAAAAAACGCACATGACCCTTGGCAACAGTCCCACAGGGATGAATAGATGGAACAGACAGTTAAGTGAATGGTATTCTGGAGAAGGGGATCGTGGTACATAGGCAAGTGAGAAAATGGTCGGAAAGTAGGACCAGTGGTCGGGCCACAGGTTGTATTTTCAGCGGTTGAAGCACGATAACTTGATACACGCACTTGAGAAACCTGTAACTACCACCACAATACCCGATTTTCACACAGAGTTACCTGCTGATTAAGGAGCAACATTTTTCCAAAGGGTAAACGGCAAACAGTTTTAAAAACGTTTCCTGTTTGGCAGAATTACCATTGGAACGCAAAGTTTATCGAAAAAAATAGTATTATACAATACTATTGTGTGCTTGGGACTGTTGGCGATCAACGAGAGCGAGATGCTGAAAATTCATCCCATCGGGTGCATAAAGCTTTACTTGACTTGACTTGAGATACACTTGATGTAACGTGTACTGTGTGACAAAGAGGTAAAGGGAGTTCAATAAATGTGTACTACAATCCAAGAACAGTGCTTTTTGAATTCCTTATGCTAAATTTGATGCAATAGGAGGGGGACACGATGACTAAGATTTACATCAAATATTTCAGTACTAGTATAGCCGAATACGATAACTTAATGACGAAGACACAGTGATAATAAACCATCGTTCAATTTATACTCGAAACCCACCTGTACACCTTCGATCAGATCAAAGAACGCCTCTTCGGAGACCTGGTCCAAATGCAACGGTACTGAGGATGACGCAGGGTATGTGTTGGCCGGTCCTGCTGTACCGACTGAGTTGATTGGGTGAACACCGTTAGCCACAGTAGTAACAGTGGCATTATTAGACATGCTGTTACCGTTATTCAAACAGCAACGTTGCTCATCCATACGCCTCCTTTGCGAATTTAGTAGAAGGGAGAAGAAAAATTCCTGTTGATCCTCTGCTTGTTCTTCGTCCGTAGCTGCCTGACCAGTAGACACAGACGATGACATTACTGTGTCTCCGGTGCGTGCGAATCCGGAGCGGTTGATTTGACCTGGATCCGGCCCAATGGTCTCAAACTGCTCTTCCAAGTCCCCGGCAGCATAAGTCGGACCAGTGGAACATTGAGTGGAATGTTGTTGGAAAGACGGCGCGTCAGAGTAAAATGACGACTGGAACCGAGGGGAAAAATCAGGAACCATGAGATGTACCAAAAGGTTCACTTTCTAGTTTTATGAGAAACTACTTTCTATAAAGTATGAAGGGCAAACTAATTTGCTGACTGCATGCTTGAAGATGCTTGACAAAACTGTATGACGGAGGAGGATGACCTTGCAGCAGGCTGGAGTTTATTGAGAGGAAGAATTAGCAGTCAAGTTACCGGGAATAGCAACTGAAATAGATCGAGTTGGGAAAACCGAAACATTGGTCACTTCTGTTTTAAGAAAGAGATCTCCAAATGATTCTATATGCCAGGCAATGATATGCTTAACCCTAAGTGTCACAAGTCTATGTGTGCCGTGGGTTTATTTACGTTTTCCCTCCCTTAAAAACGGTCTGCCTTACACCTTTTCAATGGCTTTGGGTACATTCAGCGATCGGCAGAGATTAACGAACTTTATTTCATTGTATCTTGCCGCATAATGACGATAGCGACGCCAAAGGTGGGGTATTGTGAAAATCCATCACACCGAAACAAACACCAAAGCCGGTTGAAATCGTGGTTAGTGCAACTAGCAACGCATCTCGATGCATTTGGTAGCGAGCGTTTATAAATACCGAATTTAAGTCCTGAACTACAAAATCTCCTGAAAATAAACTTCAGAAAGCACGTCTATCTCACACATACTCAGCGACAGAAGAACATTTGCATGACAAAGTACGAGAAATACAATTGATGGTCGCTCTAAAACGCTGATGGCATTTGGGGAACCCGAACATCTGGTTTATGAACCACATAATTAAATGTGTATTTTCTTTCAACATTAAATAGACTCTCTTTCAGAGTATTTACTTGTGTTTGCACTATCCATGATGAATATCTTGCCTTAGTACTGAGTGACATGTTTTATTTGATGTCCATTCTATCCACAGGGGGTTCCATAATTGTTGTTTAACCCTTGTGTGAATTTTTTCACTTCTGGTACAAAGACGAGTTCAAACAACTACGCCTTACGGTCGAAATCTGCGATAGTCCATTTCAACCTTTTTGCACTGTCCATGAGATTTCAGCTTCTCACATCACGAAGCAAGTTGCTTGGTGAAGAGATCAGGGAACAATACTATTGGATGATTCTTTCAAAAAATAAGCGAAAGATGCCTCGACCACCTAGCGTTTTCAGGTATGGTTTCTGATTGATATCGATGATGGAATTTGGACAATTGCATATCTAATCATTGTTGTATCCTAGCAATCAACCTATAGACCTCACGGTGTAGCACTTTGCCCACTGGACCAGATATGATAATCCGGCTTGTTTGCGTACTGGCGTTGGTGTATCAGTCACACACAGTAGATATCGTTCTGATGTAATTCATTTGGTTGAAAAAGATAACAGATTTTTAGGAAGGGGTATTGCGTTTTACTCTAACAATACTGCTACTCCATCTCTCGCAGTTCCGCATACGACCTATCGAGTGGGGAATAACAAACCAATAGAAAAGCTATACAGGCGCGAACGGGCGCTCCCGCAGACACGTATCATATGCATGATGTTATCGGGAAGCTGATCAATCACGATCAACTTCATTCCTCAACAGGGTCGGGCCACATCCACTACCAACCCTAGAGAACGACAATGTATCTATCACCACATTTGTTAAGCAAGGAACGGGAAAACACAACTAATGACACTATAGTAAAATACAGTGGATGACAGTGAATTAAACCAGTTAACTCAAATAAAAAACG